TAATAAGAATAGAAAAACAGAAAAGAAAATGTACCTTCTTGCATTTGTGCAATTGCATCATACTTTGATGACACTATGACTACTATTTGAGTAGAAGAAATTAGAAAGAAAGAAAGAACGGAGAGTTTAGAATAGAGAAAGAATGATAAAAGAACATAAAAGTGTAATGTAAGGAAAGAAACTCAGAAATTGAGCAACGGAGAGAGAAGAATACATAGTGGGTTTACTTACTGAGAAATTAGTGCTTACTCTATTAATTTCTTTGTTTTTGCAGGGAATAGGTGAGAAGCGGTGGATGGACGTCGAGAAGCGATGGGAAATGGCACCACGTCCACTATTTTTGAGTTATGTATATGATACTTTGTATTGTAAAGAATTTAATATAAAAGTAAAGAAAATTTTCCCTTTTATCTTTCACTTATATGTTTATGTGTTTTTATACATATTTAGTGAACTTATACATATTTCCTAAAGTATACTAGTTAGAAGAGTTACTACAATTAAATAACATAGAATAGTATTCTAAATAAAAACAAAACGAGGCCTAGTCAACTAACACGTGAAAAAGGACTGCAAAAAAAACATGTTAAGTAGCTTGAAAGAAGAAAACAGAACGCGTGAAAAAGGAAGGCTGCAAAAAAAAATTTCAAATGTGTCATAAGCTGTCAAAAGAGAAGCGTGAAAAAGGGGAAGGCTGCAAAAAATAAATTCAAACGGTCAAACTGTCAGAAAGTTAGGAATAGAATTGTGAAGATCGTATTATCTAAATATTGAACCAAACACTATTCGGAAAGTCTAACTCAAAATATGGATGAAAATACTCATCCAAACGCAGCCAATAATTACCTTTATCAATTAGGAATGAGAAGCGAGTTGAGCAGTTCGCGAGCTACTATAGCTCAGTTCGTGAAAAGCTCAAACTCGACTCGAAGTCAATCGAGCTCGAGCTCGAGTGACTCGTTTAAAGGGTTGAGCTGAGTCCAATCAAGGCGAAACTCGACTCGATAGGCTTGCGAGCCTCATTGCGCTCGAAGGGCCAAATTGTAAGTTTTATAACTTTTTTAATTTTCAAGTTTTAAAAATGACAATGGCCCCCTTCTCACAATAAACTCGAAGCTCAAGTACCACCCATACTTGCAAGCTCGAGCTCGAGCTCAAGTATTCAAGCTAGAATGAGCTTGGCTTGAACTCAACATTGTTCATCATGAACTGAGCTCAACTGTTCAGATACTTAAATCGGCTTGACTCGTATATACCCCCATTCTTAATAAAAGTTCTAAAATTAACAAAAACACTCCCACCCACCCAAACCACTATCACCCGCCAGGAGCCACCGCCATTACCACTGTCGGCCATCGACACTATAACGACCCACTTCCTACTGGATATGAATGGTTGTGGCCCGATCTGTCCGTTTCTAGCCAAATCCACCATGGCTTAGGCCGAAAATGACTAGATCCATGGCCAAATTTGACCGTTGACAATAGCCAAATGAGATATGACCATCAACGATAACCAGATTTAGCCATATCTATGGCCGTCGATCTAGTCGTTTCCAGCCAGAACGGCACACGACCGACCAGATCCAACCAGTCATGCATCATTCTAGTAGATTCCGGCAACCTTTGACGATGGTGGCCGACTACCGGCAATATGTGGGTGGGTGAGGATGTTTTTGTTAATTTATAAACTTTTATTGTAGGGGGTGTTTAGTTAAATTAACAAACCTAAGGGGTTAAAATGATCTAAATATTTTTAGAAAATGCTATTAAAAAGTGTATCAAAAACTTCTCAGAATCCTATCATATTTTCCTAAAATGCTAATGTAACACCCACATTGAGGTAAGTTATTTATGCTTTTATGCCTTTAATTCCTTGAGTTTTGCTTGTTTTAAGGTGAAAGACTGAAAATTGGAAAACTGCAGACTTCGCCACGGCAACAAACTCTCTGCCCAAATCATGTTCTAGAATTTGCAGACTTCGCCGCAACAAAAAAGAAATTTCGCCGCGGCGACGTATGCTCTGGAATGCTTCGCCGAGGCAAAGAAAAAGTTTTGCCAGGGCAAAGAGCTGGCTGAAATCTTTGAGAAAATTCTAGAGAAAACTTCCCTAAAGGCAAAATGGCCATTCTAGCCCTAATTAGTTGTAAATGTGGGGAGTGAAAAGTAAGAAAATTTTATGGAGAATGCAATGAAGGTGAGGGCATTTTTGTAATTGATTAAAGGGCAAAGATGAAATTTTCTAGAAAGTGTAAGTGCAAAATGGGAAAGTATGCATATTAATATGAGATATTAAGGGTTCAAGAATACAAACCCTATCATTCTCTACACCTCACACGCCACCTTCACTCTCAAATCCTCTCAATTCCTTCATCAAATTTCCAAGGTAATTTAGAGGACTTTTGGTTGGATTTTGGTAGAGATTCAATCTTAAGCATCCAAAGGTAAGAATTCTTGCAAATAGATGTGAGATTAATTTTTAAAGTGTTAAATTCTTACTGTTTATATGCTTAAGGTTTTAGAGAAAGAGGAAGTCTACCAAAGAGAGAGAGATTCTAGTGGAATTACTCAAGTTCAAGGTAAGTAAATCCAACCCTAGCCCTTGATTGAGCAATAAAAGTGTACAGATTTTCTTATATGAATTTATATGCTTGAGATTGGTTGATGGAATTGTTAATGGAATTGATGATGATTCATGATTAGAATTCCACCATGAGGAGTGATGGTTGTGTTTATGGTGATTGATGGAAGTTGGATGAGTTTAAGAAAGAATTTGAGAAGAATTATGAAGTGTGTTTTCTTGACTAGGTTTGGAGTTGTTTCTAGGGAGCTTTGCTCCAAAATCTTGGTGGTTAGAGATTGTTATGGTAGTATAATCACCCTAGTGCCTTATTTGTGTAGATAAAGTGTTTGATGAAATTTCATAGAGAAGTACATGTATGAGTTTATTGATTTATTATCTTGATATGAGTTGGTAGATAGTAGAGAAAGTAGAGAATGACATGTTTATATGCCATATTGCATCATTGCATTTAAACATTTGAATTAAGAAAGAACCATAAGAAAAGCCCATCTTCATGCATATAAGAACATTAAGAATATTAAAGAAGAAAGAAAAGAAAGTTATTAAAGAAAAGAAAAGAACATGAACTTTAAGTTCTAAAAGCATATAAGAGAAGAGGAGGTTGTTACGATGGGGAACCCGCGAGTGACAAGAAAAATTTTCCCGCATGCACGCCGTCTTAAGTGAGCAGCCTAAGAATAAAAAAGAAGAATTGGTAGAGTCTGTAAAAGTGTATGTGGATGAGGGCTGTACCCAAGAAAGAAGAATACATTCACACGGTCAAGGTTCTGAATCCATGCCTCAACCGAGTCCGATTGGCAAAAGAATAAGAAAGAAAGAAAGAATAAGAAAAGAAAAGAATAGAAAGATAGAAAGAAAGAAGAGAAATAGAGAAAATAAAGAAAAACAGAAAAATAAAGAAAAACATAATAAGAATAGAAAAACAGAAAAGAAAATGTACACTTCTTGCATTTGTGCACTTGCATCATACTTATGCATGACACTATGACTACTATCTTGAGTAGAAAGAAATTAGAAAGAAAGAAAGAACGGAGAGTTTAGAATAGAGAAAGAATGATAAAAGAACATAAAAGTGTAATGTAAGGAAAGAAACTCAGAAATTGAGCAACGGAGAGAGAAGAATACATAGTGGGTTTACTTACTGAGAAATTAGTGCTTACTCTATTAATTTCTTTGTTTTTGCAGGGAATAGGTGAGAAGCGGTCGGATGGACGTCGAGAAGCGATGGGAAATGGCACCACTGTCCACTATTTTTGAGTTTATGTATATGATACTTTTGTATTGTAAAGAATTTAATATATAAAGTAAAGAAAATTTTCCCTTTTATCTTTCACTTATATGTTTATGTGTTTTTATAACATATTTAGTGAACTTATATCATATTTCCTAAAGTATACTAGTTAGAAAGAGTTACTACAATTAAATAACATAGAATAGTATTCTAAATAAATAACCAAACAGAGCCTAGTCAACTAATTGACTATTTTTAAATTAAAAAATTGTAACATTATCAAAATAATCACTTATTTAGTCAAAACTTCAAACGGAACTTTCAACTCTTTAACCAAAAAAATGAAAGCCATTCATTCAAAATATTACCTTTGAACTATTACATTTAATTAACAGAAACATCATTGGGGTGGTAGCTTTTTTGTTTTTTGTTTTTTTTTTTTTTGTTTTTTTTTTTCTTTTGTGATTGAGTGTCTGAACTAGCTTGTGCGCAGCTTAACTAATCCTAAAGTTAACGATCAAGTAAACCCTCTAATAGCCACCCCTATTAGTAAGCGAAGGGAATCAAACTCAAGATCTTTTCAGTAATACACTCAAGAGTCTGTATCGTCCCACCCGGCCACTTAGGGGTTATAGCTTTAATTTTCAAAATTGAAGGGGAAAAAGTTTTTTGTGCCAAACCTCAAGGGTAGCACGTAAAAAACACTAATAATAATAATAATTAATAAAATAAAGACGAAATAAATTTGTTTAATTACTCAGATTAATTCATCAAAATTATAATTATTGAGAACAACAAGGCCAAAGGGACACAAATACATCATGCTCTTTTAAATGCAATGACAACCGCCATTTCCTCACATAACTGTTTTCTATTTTATCCTTTCAATCCCAAGAATCAGGGAAGATAACAGGATACTAAGAACTCCTGAATTAGAGGATCTAACATGAGCTATCAGCCAAACAAATTAAAATTTTCTAAAAAAGAAAACTCATTCTCACAAGCTAAGAATTTTTTAGTTTGTTTTGTTTTTCTGTTTCTTAGCAAATCACTCACCTCTCCCATCACCCCCATTCTCTGGTTTTTCACATTTGATTTCATTTTACAGATAGTTTACAGCTTATAATCCCATATTAGTTAATGTTTATGTGTTGTTCATGGTAGATTTTTCCAAGAAATAAAGAAGATGGGTATTGATGCAAAGACTGTCCAAGATTTTGTAAGGGGGGTTGTTAAATTTTCCATGGATGCTTGCTGTAAATGTGTAGAAAAACACCCTTTTGTTTTTGGTGTTGTGTTAGGTTTCTTCCTTCTGTATTTTTTAATTCCTTCTGTTTTCTACTTTCTGTTATTCACTTCTCCAGTTGTTTTCTGCATTGTTGTTTCCATCAAAATTTATTCCGCAACCCAAAATTGCAAACTCCAACAGATTAGTGTCAAAAGGGTTGATGAGAAATCATTTGTTGAATCCAAGTCTCCTCTGGCTGATCATCACGTTGTCCGTAGAAGTGGCGACAAGACGGTTATACAAAGTCGAAGAAGAAATTTCAAAGACAAGAACAATGAATGGGATGCAGAAGGTGGTAAGAAGGAGCAAAAGAGCCGGAGAACTCCTATTGATGCTTCAGTTGCTGAAAACCAGAAACTAGTCATGGAGGAGAGGGAAATTTCCAACCAAAATGCAGCTACTGCTGAAAATATTCAAGCACCAGAAGACTTGTTCAATGAAACTAGCTTGAATGAGGAGAAATTAAAAGAGACAAATGAGGAGAAAGAAAGTAGTAGTTTGGATCGCGGAGAAAGTCCATCCGGAAATGCAATTGCCGGTGGAGATGCTCAAGCACTTGAACAACACCAACCAACCTTGTATTCTCAACCTTCAATGGTTGATCTAATACACGATGAACTGGTTGACCAGTCTGAAAATATTGGTGGTGGCGAGTTGGAGGTGGAAAGTTCGTCTGATGATGCAGAAGATGAAGAAGAAGCACAACAGGAGAGGAATAAGGCTGTGGAATGGACGGAAGATGATCAACAGAACCTTATGGATCTTGGAGATTCAGAGCTGGAAAGAAACAAAAGGCTAGAAAGTCTTATTGCTAGAAGAAGAGCAAGGAAATTATTCAGGATGGCAGTTGAGAAAAGAGTTATAGACCCAGGCTGTGGTTCTCAAGGACAAATTGCTCCGATTTCTATATTGAGAAGTACCCTTCTGAATTGTCCTAGTAATGAATCTCTTGAAGGCCCTCATACACCAGGTTCGGCGCCTTCTGTTATGCTGCCATCAAGAAATCCGTTTGACATTCCCTATGATCCATTAGAAGAGAAACCAAATCTTATGTCAGACAGTTTCCAGCAAGAATTCTCAGCAGCTCACCGGAAGGATATGTTCTTTCCCAAACACGAGGGCTTGTGTTGGGGACCTTCTTTCTCATTAGAATCCCAGCAGGATCAAAACAATTCCAAGTCCTGTTCATATGCTGATGGGAAGAAGCATGAAGAGAGACTGAGATTCTCTAGATTCAGAACCTTTTCAGGTAAGACAAATTCCTTTTAATCTTCATCATTTACATTTGTACTAATAATAAAATGAAATGGATTATGACTTGTACTGAATCTTATATTTTGTTTTTCTTTTGCAGATATGAGTGCTCATGACCAGCTAATTGATAACTATTTGTGCCAAGGTCAAGCCTTGTTCCGGATGTTAAGTGCAACTGATCTTGTGGAAGTAGGAAGCCAGGCTTCCAAACAATCAAAAAAGGCAGAGGAACTCAAAGCTGGAGACAAAGAACCTGGCACTGGCATGGCAGGAATCCAAGAAGAGACAGATTTTCAGGACGTGGAGTCGAGATCAACTTATAGAAGTGAAGTTCATGGGGACACAAATTCAGCAAGAGATCACAGTAGTGAACTAGTTCATGAGGACACAGATTCAGCAAGAGATCACAGTAGTGAACAATGTTCACCGGCATCTGATGACGCCAGTGAATTGAGTTTCCATGGAAACCTTCCTACACATACAGAAATTTTAGAGGCAAGACCAGGTAAATTTCCTCAAAAGCTCAGTGACCGTGTCCAAAACTCTCTCACCTTTTCAGTTCCTGAAAACATAGCTTATAATGGAACTGCATATGATTCTAGTCCATCACCAGTTTACAAGCCAAAACTGGAGAACCGTTTCTTTTTTCGCGATAAGATGCCTTGTCCTAGCCCTGTCTATTCCATAGCTTCTGACTTGCAGGTGGAGGTCTCAGAACTTGGTTCCCCTCCACTGCCACCTGATGGAGCCATGTCACCTGCTGATATAGAATCCTTATATGATGGGGACGTCGAAAGGGAGATGATATTTGGCAGCGAAGAAATGTTTGGAGCCTCATCTCATCTATCAGGAATAGATGAATATGAATCAAGATCAAGAGAAGTTAATGAGGTCAGAGAGGATGATATCGTACAAGTAGGATTTTCTGCTATCAAGCAAAATCTCCAGGATCAGACTTCATCATTCACAAGTCCAGAACATGTTACTGATCAAGATATGAGTAGCACAAGTACATTGTCATCTTCAAGAAATATAATGCCCGAAAAAGATGAAGCTCATTCAAAGAACCCAAATAATAAAATCTCCGAAAATGCCAAACAAATAGGGGAAGAAGTACATAGGGTCCCTAAACTTTCAGATGCATTGCCACCTAAAATTCCACAAAAACCTCTGCACCCAATGAAAGAGTCAGTGCTTCACCAACCTTGTGGAGTTTATTCTGAGAAGCCACAGGTCAGTAAAAAAATATACTTAAATTGCTATTTTCTGTTATTTTCTCTTTTAAGATGAAGAATAGTAAGAAATTATGGCTTGGACTCACATTTCAAATTTTGGATAACAAATAGGAATTATCTAATCCCCCTCAAAAGTCAGCAACAGAAGGGAATGCTGTCTTTAATGCTGGTGATCAAGTAGTCCATCCAAAGAATGACGACATAGTAACCAAGAACATGGCTTTGACAGACCTGTCACAACCAGCTGAGAAAATTACTTCGGAATCTAGCAAGCACATTGAGAACAATTCTACTGACAAGCCCGCTGAGCAAAAAACTGTCTCAGAGCCTCAAGAAGAGACGAAAGAAAATAAAAGCACAACGTTTATCGGAAGAGATCCTGGAGAGCCAAATGAACCTGAAGACGTAGGGGAAATGTCGAAGATAACTGAGGCGAGAGACACTTTGCTATCAGTTCAAGACAGTAAAGATGAGCAAAGCATCACTGAAGGAGTTTCTGGGGTAAATCAGAGTTATGATAACCCCATTGTGCATCCCCGGCAGCCAATGGCATTTATTTCTGAGCAAATTTCTGCTCGCTCAAGTTCATGCTCATCTCCAAGGTCTGTATTACCAGGAAATATCCCAAAAGATCAAATACCCTCGTCACATGTGGATCGTCAGGTAAACGCCAATGTCCAGCAAACCATTGTGGATGGCATAGTCAGAAATAATTCAGGGGACGAAGTAGAACCTGAAAGCTTACCACTGACTGCTCCTCAGGATTCACAGCATTGGGTAGTGAATCCATTAAAATACCCATCAACTAGTAGCAGTTCCGGATTATCTGAGGTCAGTATACTGTAGTAACTGTTTTTCCTGATTACATAAGATAGTTGGATTTAGAGATGCACCTCGTATTGTACAGGAACCATCTGTTGAAGTTGTTGAAGGTAAATCAGAACCAGTGATCAATCCTGTGGCTGCTACTGTAAAATTAGAAGATGCTCATGAAACCGATCCAGGACCTGTCGATCATATTGAAGGAAAATCCCAAACTGTGCCTGACTGTAAAGCAGGCATTAGCTCACTAGAACCAGAAGAGAAAATTGAAAATTCAGATTTCCCTGGAACTATAGTGAAAGAAGAGGTGGGAACCATTCAGTATATTGTGAATTAGTTCTACTTGATTAGTTTTCAAATTTCAAGTACCATCGTCCTGTCTTCTTTTGATTGTTCATTCTTTGAGTTATTTCCTATTTAGATTCCATGTTATTTGGCATATCTTCGAGCATGCAAAAATCAATTTATCACAAAGATATAAAGAAATTAAACTAATGCATGCACCTCTTGTGACATTGAATAGGAAACCCCAAATTGTTCAGAAAAATCCACCAAAGAAGCCAACAACATCAGTGATCCAGCAGTCAATAAGAAAGAAGATAAGGAGGAGTTAAAATCTGTGGAAGGCAGTAAAAATGAACCCCAACTTCCTAGGGGGAAGCTGACAGAAAATGAAGTTACTGTTGGTCCATCAAACTCAATTGAAGGAAATGAGAATTATAGCGCCAGCAAGGCCAGAGAGGATATTATGCGCTTTACAGAACAAGTTACTTCTGAAGACAACTTAGAAGCAGTTAACCCAATTGAATCCAAAAATATCATGGAATATGAAGTTTCCAAACCCACAATAACAGCTGCTGAAACTGCATCGCAAGAGGTAATATGAAGTTATCATTATATTTTATATAATCTTTGTTCGCTAAGAAGACAATCTAAGCGAAGAAAACTTTAAATGTGAAAACTGTCACTGAGAGCACATAAGTGCAAGTCTTGGATTTCCTTGCTTCTCCTTTTCTCCAAGGAAATGAAAGGAAACATTTTCTTATAAGTACATGCTTTTGCTTCTTCTCTCTTGCTTTAAAAACGAATCTGTTATTGCATTTTTTTAATTTCATTTTCTGAAACTGAAAGATTACTAATGTTGGGATTCTGTGTCACTGGATAGGCACCATCTCACCCTGTTCAGCAGAATATCATGCACACATTGATTGAAATGAGCGACAAGATAACCTTGATTGATCCAGTGAATTTTGCGGACCAACCAGAGCCAATTAAGGCTATAGCTGAAGGTGATACAATGTACAATATGAAAGAAACAGAAACAGGTGCCAATGACAACATGAGCAACAATAATGAGGAGAATTTTGCAGACCAACCAAAGACAAGCAATGCTACAACTCAATTTGATATCTTGCAGAATGCCAATGAAACTTTAGGCAACGAGACTGGCAGCATGAATAGCTTGATTGATCAAGAACAAATTGCAGAACAACCAAGTCCAGTTAAGTCTCCAACAGAAGTTGATGTGATGCACAATATGAGCGAAACACTTCACACTGAAATGAGTAACAAGGAAAAAGCTTGATTGATCAAGAGCATGTTTTAGACCAACCAACCCCCGCTAAGGCTACAGCTGAGGTTGGCATCATAGAAAATGTGAGTGAAACAGTAGTCACCGAAATTATCAACAATAAAAGCTTGATTAATCAAGGGAATGTAGCAGACCAACCAATGTCAATGCCAATAGAATCTGATGTCAAGGCTCCAAACAAAGAAACAGATACAGCAAAATGAGGGGGAACATTGGATTGGCAGTTGAAGAGAAGGTCATATTTAGTTTACAGCATCCAGAATTGAAAGTTCTGTTAGGCATTGTACTGTAGAAGAGGTTTTTTCTTGTTTCCTTTCCTTTCAATTCAATTAACAGTATAGCAAAACTGGGGATTCCTCAGTTTTAGTTTCTTAATTGTTACCATTAGTTCTGTTAGGCATCAATGTGACCTACTTTTGAGTCACCCGTCTTTACAACTTGTGACTACTAAGTAATTTATTTCTCGTTAGAATGTAATGTTTCAAAGTGGAAACAGTTTTTGTTTTTTCTGCTCCCTATTTTAGGTGTTAATGAACTATAGTATGAGTCCTAAAACAAGTGGGGTTTGGCTTCAAATCAGAGGGATATTGAATTATTGCAGCCTTTGGTGGTCTTCTGTTTGGCTATGATATTGGCATTTTAGCTAGTTTCATATCCACATTTTTAACATTCAAAATGTTTTTTTTTTTTTCTTTTAACGTGTACCTTTAGAATACATACTCATGGCTTTATTTTGTTGATACTGATGTTGTAGAAGGAGTAACATTAATGGACCCTGATGTTTACATTAAGAAGCACCGAGCAAAAGAGAACAACTACTGCAAATATAAAAACCAATATCTCCAGCTCTCATCTTCACTCTACCTTGCGGCCATTGTGGCTAGCTTTGTTGCCTCCTTTGTTTGCAGGAAACTTGGCCGAAGGCCAACCGTTCAATTGGCTTCTGTGTTCTTTGGTTTGGGAACCATTTTGAATCCACGTTTTACGTGATATCAAATTTAAAAGTCTCATATTTGAATCCACGTTTTACGTGATATCAAATTTAAAAGTCTCATATTTGAATCCACGTTTTACGTGATAGCATCTATTAGACTCAAATATGAACCCGTATCGAGAACTTTGTTCAGTAATCAGTCGTTTTGTTTAGCAGTACTAACTTGATTTTGATCCTTGTTTCTTGTAGTATGCAATGGGGGTAATTCTTGCAATATATTCTAGATGCCGTCGAATTATGCTAAAATTATGGTGATCTTGGTGTGTGTATTTGTGGCTGGTTTTGCATGGTCATGGGTCCTTTTGGGTGGTTAATTGCATGTGAAATCTACCCACTATAGACTCGAAATGCGGGTTACTTTTTTGGTGCTAGCACAAACATGTTTTGCACCTTCATTATAGCTCAAGCTTTTGTCACAGTGCTGTGCCATATGCGATAGGGCATTTTCTTTTTCTTTGTTGTATGGCTTGTCACATCGGGAACTTTTGCTACCATCATGTTGCCTGAAACAAAGGGTACCCCCGTTGATGAAATAGTTGAGAAAGCATTGAAGAAGCACTGGTTTTGGAAGAGATATTTTAAAGATGACAGGAGGTGCAAGCAAGAGCAAGAAGAAGTTCAAGATAAAGCTGAAGATAAACCAGAGGAAAAGAGAGTTGAATAGGCTTACATTTATAGTTTGTTTTTCTGTTTTTGGTAGCTGTTTTTATCATTTGAACATCAATAAAAAGTTTCTATTTGTCAGGATAATTTAGGCAACAATTTAGATTCTGTAGAAGGAGAATGATATGTCAGGAAGTGTTCATGTTAATTCATTAGTTAACTGACTGTGACTCCCATTGCTTCACTTTTTTTTTTATATATTATTGTTAAAAATAATATATTATAAAAAGAGATGAAGATAGATGGTTATCAGATAAAGCACATTCTCGATTCTTTCAACCGAGAAGACTATTTTTAGTCAAAGATATGGCTCTCTCCGGCTTTCTATACAGCTGAAACTTGTTTTGTGATTTAGTTGGTTCATTTGATCAGATCAGCTACTAACTGGAGGCCATGGACTGCATATACAAGAACCCAGATGCCCACATAGAGGATCGTATCAAAGACCTTCTCTCTCGCATGACCTTGAAAGAGAAAATTGGTCAAATGACTCAGATTGAGCGTGAAGTTTCCACTCCCTCAGCCCTAAGAGACTTCTTCATCGGTACGCTTCTGTCTCTTTCGCTTATCAATTTATAGCAACACGCTTTAAAGATACTGATATCTTAGTTTTAAAATCCGGACATAAATTGTGGTTAGTAATTTGTTAAAGACAAAATTTCTCTTTATCAAACTCCTTGAAACATAAGTTTAAAGAAGCAAACAGAAGGGGTTTTTGCTGAACTGGTCCTGTTAGAAGTTATATAAGAATTCGTACTATTTTCTCTTTTAACAAAGTCTTTCATTTAAGTTCGGATTTACAAAAATACACATGTTTTGAGGCATTGTATGGAATATTTTGCAGGGAGTATACAGAGTGCACCAGGAAGTGGACCATTTGAGAATGCATTGTCGTCTGATTGGGCGGATATGGTTGATGGATTCCAGAAGTCAGCACTTGAATCCAGGCTTGGGATTCCGCTCATTTATGGGATTGATGCAGTTCATGGTAACAATAGCATCCATGGTGCTACCAAATTTCCTCACAATATTGGCCTTGGAGCTACAAGGTTAGTTTCAATCACTGGACCCAAATATTTGAATTGCGGATAAGACTCCACCTATAATGGTTCAAGTGTTAGCAAAAGGTTAAAGCAGCAAGTGCACTAAGACTTGATGAAATATATCCCTATTTTGTTTCTTCGAGTTTTTGGTAAGGTTGTCACTGTTGCTGCTCCTTGATTCGGATGAATTGCAATCTGTGACAGAGATGGAGACTTGGCGCGAAGGATTGGAGCTGCAACAGCTCTTGAAGTTAGGGCAACTGGCATTCATTATACTTTTGCTCCCTGTATAGCGGTAAGTCCAAATGTTACTGGTCGCACTTCTTTATACATAATTATGTTGTCTTCAACTTGTTAGTTGAATTGATTTTTCATCACTAGTAATGAGCTTTACATGTTATATAGCGAGCTAGACTGGGAGAACATCCTTCATATATATGTTAGACAAACATTGACTACCTTAATTTCCAACCTTTTTGTTCTTGGACTTATTCTTGTTCCACCTTTCACCAAAACTATTAGACATTTGATTGATGAAGTCATTTATCTTCATTGCACAAGATCAAATTCTTTTTTTATTCTCTTTTCTCTCGTATGTTCCAGATTATCTGCTGGATAAATTTGTAGTTTGAGGTGCACATGCAATGTAATATGAAATGTTACCTATCAAAACTACAATGAAAATTTATTAAATAATAACTTGAGAGAAATGTAACTGATGGTTTCATTTATATGTGTGGACATGTTATCAACTATCATGTAGAATCTGGTCAGAACTGATATTCCTTTCAGATGTGAGATTTATAATTGTAATTATAGATGTCCTTAAAGAGATCTGAATCATGAATTCCAGCAATTGAAAAACTATCATAACTTGAGATAATCCATTTGCTTGTAGTATATCTTATTCTCTTTATTCTTTCTTAAGAATCATTCTTTTGGCATGATTCGATTTTTTCCTGAGCAAGCTTATTTGGCTCTGTCAGGTATGCAAAGATCCCAGATGGGGAAGATGTTATGAGAGTTATGGTGAAGACACAGACATCGTTAGAAAGATGACTCCCATTGTCTCAGGATTACAGGGAGAGCCACCAAAAGGACACCCCAATGGCTACCCTTTCATGGCTGGAAGGTAGAGAGAAATCGCCATCTAATAACTTTCTTTTCCACATCTTCTGTAATCATACAAATATGTTTTAAGTGAGCCTCGTGATCAATGAATTCTATCTTTTTCATCATTATTCAATTTCGGATTTAATATACACTGATCAGGAAAAGGATTTAGAAGTTCCTTTTACATTTCTGTTTCTTGAATAAACATACTACATCTCTTAGCTTCTGCAGTCACTCTTAATTCTGTTCTACCCCATAATTTAATGTGCCTTGTCCATTTGAAAATGTGCTCATTAATTTACTTGATGTGATTCCAGAAACAATATTATTGCATGTGCTAAGCATTTTGTTGGAGATGGAGGTACTGTGAGAGGTAAAAATGAAGGAGATACAATTTTGCCTTATGATGATTTGGAGAAAGTTCATATGGCACCTTATCTGGACTGTATTTCACAAGGAGTTTGCACTGTCATGGCATCATATTCTAGTTGGAATGGAAGCAAACTTCACGGTGACCATTTTCTCCTGACACAAGTTTTGAAAAATAAGCTAGGATTTAAGGTAGACAAGTCAACCCTGATTGTATTTATTTATTAATCTATCTTGGAAATTCCACAGATCTTCTGTCAGAGTGTGATGCTACATCCAATTATATTAGAATATGATGCAGCAGATCATTATTCATTCAAATTCTTGGAGTGTTAATATCTTGATCTGGTCTTCTGCTTGCAGGGTTTTCTGATTTCAGATTGGGAAGGTATTGATGAACTTACCATACCTTATGGATCAAACTATCGCCAATGTATTTCCACTGCTGTTAATGCTGGAATTGACATGGTAGAGTCTAACTCCAAAAAGTCTAATTGTAGGTAGTTCTTTTTTTTCATGCCACCATTTTCCTGACTCAGAAAATATGCAGGTCATGGTTCCTCATAGATTCAAACAATTTGTGGACGATTTGACATTTCTGGTGGAATCAGGAGAGGTACCAATGTCCAGGATTGATGATGCTGTTGAGCGAATACTGAGAGTGAAGTTTCTTGCTGGTGTATTTGAGTATCCCTTTTGTGATAGATCTTTGCTCGATATTGTTGGTTGCAAGGTAACTTTAAAGAATTCAGCACATATTTTAGTTACCCGATTGCATGTTGCTGGTTTTTTTTGTTACTAGAAGAAACAATTTCTCTCAGATCTCAGTCTCACCAGGCTAAATTATTTCAACCTTGTTAATACTCCTGTTGTTTCCTCAAAAAGTCCAATTACTTATGCTTTCACCAAATTGTGAATCCGTGATTCCCCAGCAAATGTTTCTGCTGAATCATGGCAACCTTCCAGATGAAATAAGCAGGTTTTAGAGAATAAAGAAACAGAAGAGTTGCCTTCTTCTTTTTCTTTTTCATTGTTTCTGTTCCAATGTTATGATATCATGAAGTGTATATATTAACAAAAACTGAGTCTGAGAATTGATATCAAGTCCAATGTTTTTCTGCAGCTGCATAGAGAACTAGCTCGCGAAGCAGTTCGCAAGTCTTTGGTTCTTTTAAAGAATGGAAAGAATCCGAAGAAACCTTTTCTTCCATTAGACAGAAATGCTAAAAGAATTCTTGTCACTGGAACACATGCTAAAGATCTTGGCTATCAATGTGGAGGATGGACAAAAACTAAGTATGGACTTAGCGGTGGTATTACAATTGGTAGGCAGTTTTATGGCTAATTTCCTCCCGTAAATTACATGATACAAGCTTTACTTACAAGTTATTTCATTTTCAGGCACAAGCATTTTGGAAGCAATCAAAGAAGCAGTCAGAGACAAAACAGAAGTGATTTACGAGCAATATCCTTCTCCCCATACCTTAGAAAGACAAGATTTTTCTTTCGCCATTGTAGCTTTTGGTGAAGAACCATACGCAGAAAATGGTGGTGATAATGCTGAACTTGTAATCCCCGTCAAAGGAAGTGAAGTAATAAACTCAGTCGCGGAAAGAATCCCGGCGTTGGCAATTCTGATATCTGGAAGACCCTTGACTGTGGAGCCACAGTTGTTGGAAAAATTAGATGCTTTTGTTGCTGCTTGGCTTCCTGGAAGTGAAGGAAGCGGAATTGCAGATGTTATCTTCGGAGATTATGATTTCACGGGCCAACTCCCAGTTACATGGTTTAGAGGAGTTGAACAGCTACCAATGAATGCTTCAGATAATGCTTATGATCCATTGTTTCCTCTCGATTTTGGGTTGACATACAAATACTAGGTTTATAATCCAATCTCACAACTCCTGACGTGATAGTTTTTCATTAGTCAGTTCGTAAAATGGGTTCCGTCTGCTTGTATGGGTTTCGTCTACCCATTTGAGTGTTAATCCATAACGAGTTGTTATGTCGGGGGTTGTGAAAGGTGATAATTTGTCATTAATCAGCTAGCGAAATAGATCCTGTTTACTTGTATAGGTCTTGTCTACTTATTTGTGAGTTAATCAATGACGAGTTGCCATATTAGGAATTGTGAGAGAAAGTTGTGAATCTAGTCAATAATACGTAGATTGACTGTTAACCGTTTGTTCAAACATGATTTCCACGAATTACATTGACCCCCCTGGGGTTTGGGTCTATTTCAAGATCCTATCATTTCAAATACTGGTATTTACCCCCACTAAGAAAACTGATGTTAATGAAAATCAAACACTAGAGGGGCAAAATAGACTTTTCAGGATTGGTCAATAGTTTAATAATTAATATTACATTTTGTATTTACAATATCTTACTATTCAATTAAAGAATTAAGGTCATGTTTGCTTGGGTTGGTTCATAGTAGTGGCATAAAAAATAGGAATCTTATTTCTACTTTTCCTTCCAAATTTGAGGGGAATGGCATCCATTACCCGTAATGGGCGTAAAAAATGTCCAATTTACCCTTTTTTTTTAATTTGTAATTTCTCATTTACCATTAAATCAATATATTTTAAATTTAAATTATTTTATTAAAATAATTATTATTATATCAGTAATACTACACTACAAACACTTCTCATTAATTTTCTCTCACAAACGTAATATGTCAACTCATAATGGATTCCGTCTGCTCAACAATGGGTCTCATCTAGCCAAATACGAGTTGTCACGTCAACGTTTGTGAGAGAAAGTTGTAAAATTTGTTTGTCAACCTATCTTTATTCTTATTATATTTCATTGATTATCCCTTATTATCAGAACCGATACTATTGTCGTTACCAGTGCAATTGTCGATAGTGTTGTTGTCCTCGATTGACAAATTTACGCCACGTTATCGACGTCACCTATGACACTTGATGAATCAAAGATCGCTAATATGTCCAACTAGGCATATCCCAACCTCCAATAATCGTCATAATGACGTCACGTGCAGTGATCGTCGATCACAACCTTCGTGTGACATCTTTGTGACAATTATCGGAGGGTGGGATCTGCCCAATTGGTGACACCAACAATGTGGCAGAAATTAGTTGGTCGGCGAGTTTCACCGATGTTGACCAGTTGATATATTTTTTTGGAAAGATTTTGAAATTTTATATTATAACCTAATTACAAGCAAATAATGTAATAATATTCTATTCATTCCATTAAGCCTCCCGTGGCACCCTCTTTATTGGCCTCTGTTTTTATTGACCACCTCTGTTAATAATCAAGTAAATCGAACTTAAAACTTCTTAAATTATACATCTAAAAGTCCTAATTGATAATTCAGTCATCCCGTGATGGTTCATTCATAATATTTTCATTCCATTGATTCTTAATCCATAAACCTAACATGGCCCGTTGTTAATAAATTATATTAAGAGTGGGGTTTGAAAATTGCAACAACAGAACTTGAGTTTTACTCATAACACAGAAAAATCAAAGTTGTCGCAGCCGCGTCAACCATAACATACAATCTAAAACCTGTATAAACGTATAAAGAATCAGGATTCAATCTTTTACCTGTTGTCTGTGTTGGAGTTGTCGACTACTTCATTATTAATGGGTAACGGAGACGAACTTGGGGGTTCCGTTGGCGTTTTTGGGCTTTTCCATGTATAACTGCTATAGGATTTCTTTTAAGTTACTAATTCTTCTTTGGGTTGGGCTTAGGAATAAGAATCCTTGTAAAACTAGGTTTAATCTCTTAAACCTAGTATATAAACATACTTTTCTCTTGTTATGGGTATGAGAGCAATTCATTCATTGTAAACGAGAGAGGTGAGACATATTGCAATAATATTGACTCAGCTGGATATAACCTATATTGGATGAACCAGGATAAATCACACGTATTATTTTCTTTGTTGACTGTTTGTTTTATTTTACTATTATATTTTGTTTGTGTTGTTGTCTCTATTTCATTCTGTCTGCATATTTAAATCCAGACCAGAGATTGGGTTTATAGAAAAGCAAAAACATTAGCAGAACAGAGCTCATTTCATGACAACTGAAACTAGAAGTTTGAAATTATCAACTGTACATGGCAATAAAGAGAAAAAATATATATTTGAGAAAAGAGAATTCAAGCATTAGAATAGAAGCAGAATGTAAATGAAGAGACAAAACAGAGCTCTAGGAAATTATGCAGAGTTAACTTCCATGAAAATGCAAGGCCGGGCTGACGGCTAGTTTTTTGAAGCCAACAGTAACATTTATATGGCGGTCCTTCAACGGTAAAGAAACTGAGTTCCTTACGAGGGTTCGTGGAAGTTCATGAGGAATGATGTGGTGCTTCATTGCCATGGCATCACTAATTATTTGGAAAATTATTCAAGAGAGAAACAGTCAAATGACTCGAGTCAAATATGGACTTAGCATTTGAAAGTTAGTCTTTTTCTGCTTGGAATATTCATTTTTTTTAGTTATAAAAATATCGACGATTTGTCAACTTATCTTCTCTGAATGTTGGTTCTGACTTCCAAGTCTGATGGCCATGACTCATGACCACCAAAGCTTTTACAACCCTCGGTTTGACTTAACAGAATTACTGATGTCCATCTGCGCCGTTATTACCATTTTAACTACCAAACTCTTCCGCTATTTATCTTCTGTTCCCACAATCCATAGAATTAGTGATATCTTCATTTCTTCATCAGCCATCTGGTCTTTACTATTGTAGTGAAGAAGAAGCGAAGATCACCAAGAGGCCAGCCATGGACTGTATTTACAAGAACCCAAATGCCCAAATAGAGGATCGTATCAAAGACCTTCTCTCTCGCATGACCTTGAAAGAAAAAATTGGTCAAATGACTCAGATTGAGCGTGGAGTCGCCACTCCCGAGGCCCTTAAAGACCTCTCCATCGGTAAGGACACTTCTCTTATACATTTATGTATATGTTCTAGTGTTGGTTTGTTCTTTGAGGCATTTATTCATGCATTTGGTTCACTTCTTTTTTTTTTTTTTTTTTGGGGGGGGGGGGGTTTTGTAGGGAGTATACTCAGCGCCGGAGGGAGTGGACCCTTTGAGAATGCGTTGTCGTCTGATTGGGCGGATATGGTTGACAGGTACCAAAAGTCAGCACTTGAGTCCAGGCTTGGGATTCCGCTCATTTATGGGATTGATGCTGTTCATGGTAACAATAGCATCTACGGTGCCACTATATTTCCTCACAATATTGGCCTTGGAGCCACAAGGTTAGTTTCATTTTTATAAGGGAAAATCAAGTAACCATTGGACCCAAGTATTTGAATTGATGGATAAGACTCCACCTATAATGGTTCAACTGTTAGCAAAGGTTAAAGCAGCAAGTGCATTAAGACTTGATGAAATATATCCCTCTTTTGTTTCTTCAAGTTTTTGGTAAGGTTGTCACAGTTGCTGCTCCTTGATTCTGATGAATTGCAATCTGTGACAGAGATGGAGATTTGGCGCGAAGGATTGGAGCTGCAACAGCTCTTGAAGTTAGGGCAAGTGGCATTCATTATACTTTTGCTCCCTGTATAGCTGTAAGTGGAAATGTTACTGGTCGCTCTTCTTCATACATTAATTATGTTGTCTTCAACTTGTTAGTTGAATTGATTTTTCATCACGAGTAATGAGCTTTACATGTTATATAGTGAGCTAGACTGGAAGAAGATCCTTCATATTTGTTAAGACAAACATTGAGTACCTTAATTTCCAACCTTTTTGTTCTCGGACTTATTCTTGTTCCACCTTTTACCAAAACTATTAGACATTTGATTGATGAAGTTATTTATCTTCATTGCACAAGGTCAAATTCTTTTTTTATTCTCTTTTCTCTCGCATGTTCCAGATTATTTGCTGGATTAATTTGTTGGTTGATGTGCACGTGCAATGTAATATGAGATCTTACCTATCAAAACTACAAGGAAAAATTATCAAATAATAACTTGAGAGAAATGTAACTGATGCTTTCATTTATATGTATGGACATGTTATCAACTATCTTGTAGAATCTGGTACGAACTGGTATTCCTTTCAGATGTGAGATTTATAATTGTAATTATAGATGTCCTTAAAGAGATCTGAATCATGAATTCCAGCAATTGAAAAACTATCATAACTTGAGATAATCCATTTGCTTGTAGTATATCTTATTCTCTTTATTCTTTCTTAAGAATCATTCTTTTGGCGTGATTCGATTTTTTCCTGAGCAAGCTTATTTGGCTCTGTCAGGTATGCAAAGATCCCAGATGGGGAAGATGTTATGAGAGTTATGGTGAAGACACAGACATCGTTAGAAAGATGACTCCCATTGTCTCAGGATTACAGGGAGAGCCACCAAAAGGACACCCCAATGGCTACCCTTTCATGGCTGGAAGGTAGAGAGAAATCGCCATCTAATAACTTTCTTTTCCACATCTTTTGTAATCATACAAATATGTTTTAAGTGAGCCTCGTGATCAATGAATTCTATCTTTTTCATCATTATTCAATTTCGGATTTAATATACACTGATCAGGAAAAGGATTTAGAAGTTCCTTTTACATTTCTGTTTCTTGAATAAACATACTACATCTCTTAGCTTCTGCAGTCACTCTTAATTCTGTTCTACCCCATAATTTAATGTGCCTTGTCCATTTGAAAATGTGCTCATTAATTTACTTGATGTGATTCCAGAAACAATATTATTGCATGTGCTAAGCATTTTGTTGGAGATGGAGGTACTGTGAGAGGTAAAAATGAAGGAGATACAATTTTGCCTTATGATGATTTGGAGAAAGTTCATATGGCACCTTATCTGGACTGTATTTCACTAGGAGTTTGCACTGTCATGGCATCATATTCTAGTTGGA